GAGCATTGCAGTCTCCCCCAGGTCGTGCCCCAGCCGTGGGGGGCGTGGGTGGGAGGTCAGAGCCCCCCAGCGCAGGGACGGGGTGGGGGAAGGGGTTGAACTGTGCGCTGGCGCACGGACGAACCCAGGTGTCCAGGACGGGACCCAGGCATCCCAGGGGAGGGAGCTGGGGGGGGTGCACTTTGGTCTCCCAGCTCTGCAGGGGCATCCAGCCAGGTCCTGCAGCCCTCGTGCCCCTTGGTGGCCTGAGCTCCCCCCCCCCCCCCCCCCCCCCCCGGGCAGCGTCCCTGGGGGGAGCTGCCAGAGGCGCCCCAGGTGTCCCTGGGCCCAGGGCATAGAGACGGGCTGCTCTGGGGTGGCGTGTGCAGGAGGCCAGCACGTGCCTAGGGGGGCTGAGGAGGGCGCAGCAAGCAAGCATCACTCGCCCTGGGTGCCTGTATCTTGGTCTATTGCCCGTGGCTCTGGAAGGAGACAGAAGAGCCGGGAAAGGTGCTCGTGACGAGGGCGTGAACGCGTTGAGAGCTGAGAGCTCAGCTGGAGCCACCGGGCGCTGGGGAGAGGGGCCACAGGGAGTCTGAGTTGGGACGTTCTGGACCTGACGTGGCTGAACGGGGAAAACCTCTTCCAGCCGCCTCAGGATGCAGCCGGGCACTCTGATATTGTCTGCTGGTTGCACATTCTCCTGCCCGGGCTCCTGGCTTGGGAGGGCGGGGACCGGGCCAGGCAGCATCCAGCCATGGCAGCCAGGAGGGGGCAGTGGGGCAAGGCTTGGCATGCACCCCCTGCTCCAGGTTCAAAGACCTGGGTGTGGCTCTGCCAGATGCCCAGGGGTGTGGGAGAGATGAGGAGGGGCTTGCCCTGGCTCTGGAGCCTATCTAGCCCACTCCAATCCCCCCCAACCCACCTTCAGGCTGCCCCTTGGGACTGGGTGCAGCGCTCTGAGCCCCCCACCCCGCTCCCCTTGCAGATCTTCCCCCAGCTATGGCGCAGTGGCAGAAGGTGCAGGAGCTGGGCAGTGCCCACCTGGAGCAGGTGCATCAGCTGTATCACAGCGACCTGCTCCCCATGGAGGTGCGGCATTGCCTGGCTGCTTGGATCGAGGACCAGGCCTGGTAACTGCCCCCCACCGTGGCCAGGGGAGGGTTAATAGTGGGGGGTAGAGGTGGGTGCAGCGCCCCTTTCCTGCAGGGCCCCCCCCTCCATGTGTGCCCCTCATGCTGCCCCCCCAGGCAGCAGGCGGCAGAGCCGGGCTCATCGCAGGCACGCATGCTGCTGTACGCACTGCTGGCGAAGCTGGACGAGCAGTATGGGCGCTGCAGCACCGAGGCTGATGGCTTTGTGCTGCAGCACAACCTGCGCAAGGCCAAGCACGATCTGCAGGTACGCGGGGGTGGGGGGACACCAGAGGGGCTGGGGGAGTCTCTGTGCCCTGGGCACTGACCCCTGCCCTCTCCCCACCTCTTGCCGTCTGCCAGGCCAGGTATGAGGAGTGCCCTGAGGAGCTGGCCAATGTCATTGCCAACCTGCTGCGGGAGGAGAAGAGGATCCTGAGCCTGGGGCTTGAGGCCCAGCAGGCAGGTGGCAGGGAGAGTCAGGAGTGAGGGAAAGTTGGGGGGCTGGGAGTGCGAGGCACTGGCAGGGCTGGGAGGGCTGCAGGTTGGGAGTAAGGGGCATCTGCAGTGCTGGGAGCTGTGGGTTGGGAGTGAGGAGCACTGGCAGATGCCTCGTGCATCTTTTTCTCCCCCTACCCCCCAGCACCACATCCCCAGGGCAGGTGCGGGGGGACGGGAACCTAACCCCTGCCCTCTCCCAGCAGGCAGGAGCCAGCCCCACGCCCACCCCCCCCATAGAGACAAACCGACAGCAAAAGATCGAGCAGCGCCTGAACGAGATCCAGGAGTCCATGCAGGTGAGACCCCCCACTTATTCCCGACAGGGGGTGCCCTCTGTGTTCCCCCATGGAATTTAAACCCGGAGCCCTGGGGTCTTTCCTGCCCCCCAGGACCTGGAACGCTCGGTGCGGCACCTGGAGGAACTGCAGGACACCTTTGACTTTGTCTACAAGATAACCCAGGCTCACAGTAAGGGGGAGTTTAATGGGGGGTTGGGGGGGCTCCCTTGCCTGGTCTTGGGTATTGCTCTTATGAATACCCTGGGGGGCTGGGAGCAACAGGCTGGGGGACCACAATGGAGACGGGTGCCAGCTGCAGGGGGCACTAGGCAACCCCCGACTCTTCCCCCTCTAGAGAGGACAAACCCTGCAGACCCTGAGCTGCAGGCTCAGACTCAGCAGCTGCAGGCTATGCTAAACAGCCTGGACCAGAACCGCAAGGTGAGGCGGGCCCTGGGGTCCTGGCGCACTGGGAGGGGTTGGGGGACAGAGCTGCCCCCCTTGATACCTTGCCCCCCTGCTCCCAGGGCGTGCTGGCAAAGATGCAGACACTGTTGGGGCGCGTGGAAACGCTGCGGGACTTTGTGCTGAAGGAGCTGGCAGCCTGGCGTGAGCGGCAACGCCAGGCCTGCCTGGGCGCCACCCATGACACAGCCCTGGGCTCCCTCGAGGCCTGGTGAGCATGGGCAGGGGGAGCCTGGGCATCACACCCCCATGCCAAAACCCAGGCATCGGGCAGTGACCCAAGCATCCTGACTTTGCCCCCCTGGGGCAGGTGCACGGGGGTGGCGGGGGCATTGTTTCAGCTGCTGCGGGTGCTACGGACGCTGCAGGAGCTGCGTGCCAAGGTCAGCTATCAGCACGACCCGCTGGAGATGGAACCGGGGCTGTTGGAGCACCGCATTCGCGAGCAGCTCACCAGCCTCCTGCGCAGGTGGGGAGGGGTCTTGGGGCCAGGTGGGCGGGGGTTAGGGGGCCAGGCAAAGGCTCGGGCTCACACTCTTCCACCCCTCCAGCGCCTTTGTGGTGGAGGAACAGCCGGCCATGCCCCACCCCAGCCGGCGCCAGCTGGTGCTCAGGACCAACCAGAAGTTCTCCACCTGCATCAGGTGAGCCATGCCCCCATTTTCTAGGCTCTGCCCCCCCAACAGGGGCACCGGGTTCCCAGCATTACCCCCCCAGCTGATCCCTGCCCCCCACCAGGCTCCTGGTGAAGCTGCAGGACCGGAACCAGCAGCTGGTGGTGAAGATGGAGTGTGACAAGTGAGTCCCATTGCCCGCTCCCATAGCCCCCCAGCACCAGTTGCGGGTGGGGGATGAGTGGAGGGGGGTGCAAAGCATCTGAGTGGGGGGAAGGAGTCCTGGGGGGCTCCTGGGGAGGGGGGGGCTTCATCTTCCTGACCTTTGCTTGTTCTCTCTCCAGGGATACCCCAAATGTGAAGGGGTAAGAGCTGCAGGGGGCATGGTGGGGGGACTGGGGTATGTTCAGGGGAGGGGGAGATGTCCCCTGTGGTAGGGGGGCATCCTCCAGGAACCCTCCCCAGGCCTGGGCCAGGCTGAGGGGCCCCAGAGCCAAGCCAGGATGGGGATACGTGCCCCCTCAGGTCACTAACCATTACCCACCCCAGGTTCCGGCGCTTCAACATCCTGACGTCGCCCAACAAGACACTGGCGCTGGACGAGAGGCATCGCAAAGGGCTGGTCTGCGACTTCCGCCATGTGGTGCGCACCACCTGGCCTGGGCACCTGGGTTCCCTCCCAGTTTCGGGGGGTGGCGGGATGGAAACACCTGGGTTGCCTCGAGAGAGGATTGCTGACCTGAAGGGCAGCTCAGAGCCCTGCTGGGCCACTGGGCTGGGGGGTTGATCTTGACCTTGACCTTCTCCTGGCAGATGCTGAAGGAGCAGAAGGTTGTGGGCTGTGGCAAGGGCAGCAAAGGTGCCAGCGAGGTATGCCTGCCCACTCCTCCCCTCAAAAACAACCCAGGTGGGGTCTGGCCCCCGCTGCTGGGAGGCCCTGACCTCTTTCTCCCCCACACCCCCCCTTCAGGGCCTGCTACCGGTAACGGAGGAGCTGCACCTCATCACCTTCACACTAGACTACAAGTACCAGGACGTGGAGCTGCAGCTGCAGGTGAGAGGGGGCAGGGCACTCCCGGACACATGGGTTCAGCCCTTCAATGTGTGTGAGGGGGGGACAGGTCTTGGGGGAAGAAGAGGAGGAGAGTGGTGCAATTGGGCTCCTGAATGCCCGAGTACCTTTTTCCTTAGCATGTGGTCTGGGATGCAGGAAGGGGAACAGCAGCTGCAGCCCCGGGGGGTGGGGGGGGTGTCTGGGACCCAAGCATCCTACTGACTCCCCCTTGCCCCCAGACATCCACTCTGCCCGTGGTGGTCATCTCCAATGTCTGCCAGGCCTCGGCTGCCTGGGCTTCCATCCTCTGGTTCAACCTGCTCAGCCGCTGCCTGGGCTTCCATCCTTTCACCCCATCCCCCCCAGGACCAGCTGTTCTTCCAGGCGCCTCCCCCAGCTCCCTGGCCCGTGCTGGCCGAGGCGCTGAGCTAGCAGTTCATGGCTGCTGCTGGGCGCGGGCTGGACCACGACCAACTGCACATGCTGGCTGAGAAGCTCTTCGGTACGACGGGGTAGAGGGGGCAGGGGTTGGTGCCCCCCACCCTCTCACCGGGGCTGGGGCCTGGGTTTGGGGCGGCCTTGGCTCTGCCAAATGGGGTCTCTGAACACCTGGGTTTCCCCTTCCACAGGACACCTGGGTTCTTCCCCTGCTGTTAGGTAGTAAAATGGGATCCCGGACTAGTATTAAAGCATTGACATGACACCTCATTGGATAAGTGACAGAAAGGCTTTATGCACTTCAAGTATCCTAGGTTAAATGAGTCCAAACGGAAGCGAAGTCCAGTATTTATCTGCAAGGTGATCGTTTCTCACCAAACAGGCAACAGGGAGAGGCCATCGGATTCTTCTCAGCTTCTCAAGAGCTGGCGCAGCGGGAGTTCGTGTCCGAGATTTCTCACTCCTGTTAGCTGTTTCCTTCCTCTTACCCTTTAGCATCTTCAAAGTGTTCCTGCAGTTATGTAAATAGAGAGAGAGGTTCACCCAGTAACTGCCTGGAAAACCCCCTTAATCAAACTGCTCGTTAATGGTTATCAGAAAGTTTCAATTTGAGTGAATTAGTACTAAGTTTGGAACCTATCAAGGAACTGATTAATGGGAATCCTGGTTTTCTTTGATTGGGGGATGTAGCAGGGCACTAAGGTGCCTGCTCCTCTTAGAGCAGAGATAAGAACCCAGGTGCAAGTTGCCAGGACAACCGGTTAAGGAGGGAATTGGCCGCACCTGCACCTGGTCAGCTGGCAGGAGGAGGCAGGGCCCTAGGCCCCATATAAACCCCAGGGCTGGGACCAGGTAGTTAGTCCCTTACCAGCAGCCAAAGGGGAAGGAGCCTCCATGAGAAGGAAGGGCCCAGAGATGTGGTAGCTGGCAGGTACGCTACCCTTAGAACAAAGGGGACACCAGGAGCCCATAAGGTATCCTTGCCTACTAGGCACCGAGCCTCAGAGAAGGAGTTTTACTCGTTTACAGGGGCAGAGCATGGTGGTTGGCAGTTGAGTGTGTGCTGTCTCATAACAACCAGTGGTTTGGGTGAGGCTAGTTGGGGAAGGAGGAGGCCTCATAGGGGCCCACTGCAGCGTGGGGACCCCGGCGCCAGAGAGGGTGCAGCATTTGGGGGGCACAGACCCCAGCGCCAGAGAGGGCATCGCACTTGAGACAGGGCCGCGGAGAGCCCAGCGCCAGAGAGGGCGTAGAGATCCCGACAAGGACAAGGAGCTAAATTAATAAGCAGCCTAGGCAAGACCACGCCTGTATCATCTGCGAGGCTTGGGGTGTGGCAAAGGGGTGGTTGGAGCCACGCATATGGCCCATAAGGCTGAGAGACTTGAGAACCATCCACAGTGAAGTGGGACGTCGAAGGGGGGGGTAGAAACAACAGGATTAATAGGATCTAACCCGACCATGTCCAAAACTAAAGGTCAAGGGCAGCCTCCCAAATGATGTATTATACCAACAAGACATGGCAGGCGACAACAAGGGTGCTTGTAGGGTGAAGGACTGGCATGGTTAAGGACCTGGGGGTGTAACACGGCCACCCCTAGGTACCCCAACCTGTTACGGGGGGAAAAAAAATTGCCACTTTTCAGATACAACCCCCCCCAAATCTACATTGTTCTGTGATTAAATGAAATGCCACTAATATATATAGATATCTAGAGAGAGAGATTATATGTAATTAGAGATGGATATAATTATCTATCTGTCTGTCTATCTTGTTAGTGGTGTTTCATTTTAATCGCAGAAAAATGTGGATTTGGGGTTACTTCTTTATATCTGAAAAATGGGGATTATTTTTTTAATCAGAGAAAACCAGGATCCCTGCTGATTTAACAACCAGGAAAAAACACACGGGGTTTTTTTGAGTGTCGTTGGAAGATCAAGGAAGCACTAAAGCAAAACAAGTAAATTGGGAGGAGACAGTTATCAGACATGGAGAATGGCTCTTCCTGCACCTGAGCAGGAGTTAATTGGAAAAGAAATATTTACTATACTAATTAGTCAAGGACAGATGTTTCCGGGGGGGGGGGTTACATAGCAGAGGGCCAGGAGCCTGTTTAAAATTATCATGAATAGAGTAAGATAAGAGGGAAGCGAAACAACATCCTTATTTCTTCTCAGATGGCCGAGCCACCACCATGCATCCTCTTGTCCTGTGCAGTTATTACCAGTATTTTGTATTTTAACTTTTGTGAGTAGGCCCCAGCTTAACATGAGCTCTACAGTCATCAACCCCCCCGCCCCGAGATATGTGGTTGTCCCCCCAGGAGCCAGGGAACCCGGATGCCTGGGTCCCAAAGCCAGCCTGCACCCCAGCCTCGGTTTCCCTCTCTGTCAAAGAGGTGTTGGACCCTGTTTCCCGGGGGGGGCAGCTGAACCCCAGTGCCATTCCCCCCCCCCAACTGACCCTGACTCTCTCCTTAAAGGACCAGATGCATCCCCCAAGAGCACCCTCCCCTGGATCCAGTTCTCCAAGGTAAGAGGCTGCAGGGCAGGGGGGGCGCACACATGTGTGCGTGTGTCCATTGTGCACCCCCCCACCCCCAGCCTGACGTTTCCCCCCACAGGACTCCCCTCCCGGCTTCTCCTTCTGGACCTGGCTGGAGGGGATCTTGGAGCTGATCCATAAGCACCTCGCCTCGCTGTGGAAGGATGGGTAGGACTTGTGGGGCTGGGAGGCCGGGCTGGGCAGCCCCTGGCTCTGGGGGGCTCATGCCACCCCCCCCTTGGGGGCCCCCCCAGGCTGATCTTGGGCTTTGTGAGCAAGAAGCGGGAGCGGCAGCTGCTGCGGCGGCGGCAGACTGGGACCTTC